TTTTAACAATTTTTTTGAAAACGGCCTTAAGGATTTTGCTTAAACTAGTAATGTTGAAGTAAAAAGTAGATACTTTTTAATAATTTATCATGTAGTTGGTACCAACCTAATAGTAATAATCAGATAGATGTTAGATAACGAATTTTAAAATTTCACCTCTAAATTACCTTCAATTTTATATATTAGAAGTAATCAAAAGTTTGTATTGTCATAGGTTGATAATAATACAAAATAGATATGTATCAACTATAATTGGATATTTTCAGGTTTAAAAAAAAATGAGAGGAAATCTAGAATTAGAGGAGTGATATAGATTTATTATTTGTAAAGGTGTCACAAAAAATGAATACTCAACATATGATCATATAGAAGGGGATTGAAAGTGAAAAAGGAAATAATTACTTTTAATTATTGCACTTAATAATGTATTTTTTTATATTATTAGAAAATATTTGAAAAAATGTATTTTTTTCAGCTTGTTAAATAAAAAATAAGTAATGCACAGAATTTTCACAACGTAAGCCAGTATAAATGAGTGAAGTATCATTCTTAATTTTTATTCACATCAGAAAAAACGATTTTATACAAGAACTAGGGTGGTAAGTTGTGAGGTGGATCAGCCTGATTTCTATTTATTTTTTATAGTTGTATTGATTCATGATTATAGACTGCATGTAAATTTTTGTACTAACATATCTTTTTTTTTTCATTAATTTCTTTTTTTTTTCAGATAACCCCTTACCTCGCCATTTCTGGCATCCACGTCAGTTGTTCTAGAAGTACATCCAGACCTTCTAAGCAGATTGGGTAGATCGAGAAGCCCCACAAATAAATTTAAACCCGCCCATGCCGGATTCGGAATCAGCGTCGCTATTGTACCAACACATCTATGTAATTTTACAACTATCCATCTAACTTATCCATAAAAGGGTAACATTTTAACTTTTTTTTTGTACCTCCTTACCTCACCTTTTAGGTTAAACGAGGATTTTCCAGGCCCAGAAGGGAGGGCGTAGGATTAATACCAGAGTTAAAGGGACGCGAACTCCTAATTATTTTATATCTTATAAACTTCGGTTTATTAATCATCTGGTTGACGAGCAACGGGCGTTTTCCTTTGCACGTGGGTTAGCTCGCTCGCTCTCTTTGTTTCTCGATTACCTCTGCCTCATCATTTCTGGCATACGGGTGTTTGTTCTAGAGTGTGACTCTCCCATGAAATAAATTTCCACCTGGCCATTCGGATTCGAACTGGCGTCGCTAAACTCGAGAATGGTAATGTTAAAACTTTATCAAGTTCGGACATAAGACCTCAAGACTTATAATTTGAAAAATATGCTTGGCCTAATTATTAAATGTTTACCGAAGCACGAAGAAATACCAAAACAAAAAATCACACGGTTTCGTCCTCCCAATCAGTGTTAATCCAATCCAGTATTTATGTAACTATTATCCCTAAACTACCGAACAGATCCTGAGGCTCCTAAGTGGCCCCGATCTAGCGAACGTGAAGACAGCCCTAAAGATCCTCCAAGCAGATCCAGATAATCTCCAGCGGCTGGAGAGAAAGTGAATCGTGATTGGGAAGAGAGGATAATGCGGCGGTTGCAATCCTCTTCCGTGGAGTTTACTTAAACTGCTAGCATTAGTGCACCTTCCCGGTATTAATAAAGCCCTTACTACTTCGTGCTCGTGGATTCTGGAAGTCATGATGCGCCTATATCATAGTCAACTGGATCCACAATATTGGCCTTTTCTTTTCCTTTTTTTTTTTTCAATGAATGCACCCACATAAAACATCCATGCAAGCTGTTAATTGTATAAAATTAAATTCTAATCTAAATAAATCACTAACGCATAAAATAGACCACGAAATCGAAAAGAATGTTTATGTTTGAAGATACTTCTAAAAATCTACGGTTCAATTAGCTCAATCCATTGTTTTAAATTAAATTTGTATTGCAAAACATTTTATCAGTAATTTGATGACAGCGACTGGTAGTACTAACTTGGTTATATTGATATAATATTATATGCTTTCGTGAATAAAAAAGAAGAGTATAAGAAACTTGGTTTACACTCATGATAAAATATCAGGTGTGCTGCATGAAAAACTTAACTATATCTCTTTACACCACGCTGAGCAGAAGTCAATTTTAAATAAATTATGAAAATTTAAAAATATAACTTTAACTATAAATATATGTGGCACCTGTGGAAAGTGTGTTGTACAATTTTGTGAATTTTTTGGGGTTTCGAAAGAAAACTTGTTTTTCTCGCTTTGTTTCTGTCAAATGGGCTATGGGGAGAGACTCGGGCAGCATGGCTTTCCCTGGTGGACGGTCACCCAAATCGGGCAGTCACCTATCCAAGTACTAACCACGCTCGACGTTGCTTAACTTTGATTACCAATTGCAAGCGTCTTAGCCCATGCGGCTACCCCAGCCCCATATGTATATCTTTATATATATTATTATTATTATCTTTATATATATATATATATATATATATATATATATATATATATATATATATATATATATATATGTATATATATATATATATGTATATATATATAAAGATAATTAATTGGGAAGAAAAAGAGGAAACTATCTACCTACATGAAATAGTGATTAAGTGATTCATTCTTAAAGTCCTATTAAAAATTGAATTGCATGAAATTAATACTAATATTGATATTATCCGTTTAGAGATAATTTTCATATATGTTTTTATAGCGCATGTATATATTTAGTATATGTATTATAATTTTAAAAATATAACGTGTTGTTATTGTTCGAGTATTTAGTTTAGGTCACTCACAGGACCAAACGTGGACCAATTAAAAAATTTCGTTTCCCCAAAGCCCTCTGTCCCCCTCTCGTAGATCCGCCCGCGTACTCAGAATACTTTCAAATGTGCATTTCCTTTGAATGCATTCATTATAAATATCTATATGTATAATACTTTATATATTATAATGTTAAATATTAAATATAGTATCAAAATATTAAGTAGATCGTATCAAAATAAGTAAATAACTAATGTAAATAAAATAAATCATCTTGTAATTGTATAATTGTATACAATTATACAATCATCTTTAGTACACATTCATACATATGCAAAATATTTGCATTCTACCAAAGGAAGTTCAAAACAAACTTTGTCCACTACATTTGGATGGTAAAGCAGTACTATAAGCAATCCCAGCTCTTCTCGCCTAGCCTCAACACTGGTGTTGAAGAAGGTTGAGTAAGAACTTCATGTCATTGAAGAATGGATGTAGAATGGACGATAGACCGGAAGACTTGAAGGTTTGAAAAAAAAAATCGAGTAAGTTAAATCAATATACAGAATATCTTATGCCATGAAAATTGATTTCCTTTTTTTTTTTTTTTTCAAAATAGAATATCAGATAGACTGCTAAAAATATAATAAATATTAATTGAGAGAGAAACGCCGACACTTTTGTATTTTAAAGAATTCAAGTACTTAACGAATAGAGTCTAGACAATAAAATAGTGATCATTCTTATGCAAAATTAATATACTGATTTCACAAAGGACGTTTCAAATATTGTAACAATTTTTGAATTGCAATGTCCAGTCAGATGTACACAGCGGATTTGAGTTTCCCGCTCACGTCTTGCTATACATTAGCAACTAACGAGGATGGCCCTAACCACTTAGTACCGTCTCATGGGAACTTAACCAGTTAGATCTCTCCCGTATAACAAACCGTTCCGTCCATAGTCATTTCGAATTAAGTCATTCGATTAGAAAACTGGTCTCTTTTTGCAAGTTGTATGTCTTTTTTGCCTGTATCATGTTTGGTAACTAGCCGACAAATCAGCCCTGCCCATAACTGAAACACAATACCCGCTGTAATTATGGTACTCAAACAGAGCGGTTGTTTAATAACTTATTTCTGATGCAAATTTTTAAAAAAAATTTCCATCACTAAAGCATCCGGATTTGAGGTATTAAGAAGGTTGTCTCTCTCCTCTTTTTTAGACTGATAAGTGATCAGTTTTTAGTGTCGAATCATAAACTGAGTTTTAATATTTTGACACGTTTAAAAACATAAGATTTATTGAAATAATTAAAAATGTTATTATTTGCTTATAGATTCGAAGATATTAACTAATTTGAGATGACCCTAATTCCACGATCTAAGTTCTATATTCTAGAGTTTAGAACATACATTTTTTTCGAATATTATGATATCTTATATGAAATAAAAAAAAACTTAAATAAATATGATACTACTAGTCACTGTTTAAATTTAATTCATTTTATTTTTAACTCAAGGGAATAGTGGAAATATACACCTGTGTTTATCTATTATATATACATTTTATTTTTTATTTGTCATAGAATGATTTCGTAAGTTAGTCTTGTATTTTTGTGATGACAAACAAAATCGGTGCTCATTGATTTCACTATCCATATTCTTTTTTTATATATTTTTTTATTATTTACTTATTTAATAATATAATATTCTGTTTCTTGGAAAATAATTATCGGGAGGGGAGGTAAGACCACATTCTTACCACATATGTAGAAAACTAACTTTCTTTTAACTAAGAAGAACATCCGTCTTCGGAATTGCTTCAACTTGTCGTAATCTCCAACTTAATTACCAAATACGAAAATTCTAAGAAATGAGGCGTTTTCTTATTCAATTAATTAATTTAAATAGGTACTGAAAGCTCAAGAATACCCAATTAGATCTGTTTGTAATATATTAAAAATATTTTTTTTTTATTAACATAATTATTTTTTTGTTTCATTAATCTTAAAGGAATAAATGCATAACCAAGCCAATTTTCTGTTATTGTACAAATTGTTATTACGACGCGTTAAAAAAAGTGTAATAATTAATCAACGTTTTGAACGCTGGCTGGCTCCTTGACTAATATAGGTATTTTTCTTCATTACTTAAGTTCTGCTATAAATACTGTTACGAAAGTTGAACTTTGTTTACATCCTTGGGTATTATTTAGATAATAATTACCTCATAATTATCAAGTTATTTTCTTTACATGTCAGGATAATAATACCAATTAGCTTGTATTTTTCTTTCGCTTAGTTAACATGGAGTGGGGTGATAAAGAAAACTGAATAGCTGTGATCGCCTTACACAAAGTTGGTAAATGTAGGTCAGAGATTTTCAACACTTTGAAACCTTTGGGTATCAGCCGTATGTTCCTGTACCGCACTATAAATAGATATAATGAGACCCTATCTGTATGTGACATACTTCGACAGGGATGTTCCCGCACTGTGAGAACGGCAAATGCAGTGAGAGCACTAGCTGCTCGAATCAGAAGAAATCCTATTCGAAAACAAAAAATCATGTCTCGGGAAATGGAAAAAAACTACCACATCAATGTCTTGCATAATAAAAAGTGATCTTAAGATGGGTGACTTTCGAAGAATGACAGAACAAAGGTTGACCACTTTCCTAAAAAAAAAAAAATAGAGTGGATATATGCAAAGTGTTCCTTGGCCGTCAAACCAATGGTCTTCACCAAGAGATTTTGTTAAGCAATGAGACATTTTTTACAATTGAAGACAAATTTATTCACCACAATGATCTTGTGTACGCACACGGCTCTAAAGAAGCCCAGGAAATCATTGGAAGAGTGGGAAGAGGTCATAATTCTTCCTTAGTGATGGTTTGGTGGGGAGTTTGCTTTGATGGCACCACAAAGGAGTTAAAACAGCCGCTAAAAACTATGAGGAGGATATTTTGGAACCTGTTGTCAAGCCCCTAAATCATAATCTGTTTGCTGGAAGTCATTGGATTTTCCAGCAGGATTCCACTCCAGCTCACAAGGTCAGGTCAACTCAGCAGTGCCAGCAAAAGAACATTCTAGAGTTCATCTCTGCCTCGGATTGGCCCTCAAGAAGCTCTGATCTCAACCCACTACATGTCACAGAGCTCACCTTAACTTAGAAAGCCTCTAACAATCTCTGGTCCGAGCAGTTGAGCGCTTTTTAAGAAGTACTGCGTGCTGCTATTGATGACTGGCCACGGGGATTAAATGCCTGTATCAAGGCAAAAAGGTGACATTTGGAGTAAATTCTTTTTTGTTTTACTCTCTATAGATATACATTTTATTTTCTAATAAAGTTTTTGAAAAAATTAATTTTTCTGTTGGAATTTGTATATTTTTCCTTGTTACAATATTTATGACAGGACTAGGTAATATTAAAGAAATAAAAAAAATTTGAAATAAGAAAAACATACACATGGTTTTAGTGATTTATATAAATAAACGCATTATCCTGATATGTTTCATTGGTTTTGTATGATCCTTTTGAATGTATGGTATTTTGTTTATTTCTTGTATGACTTATGAATTGTTTACTTTTATTTTTCTATTTATTTGCTTAGTACGTTTTTAGGCTTATTTTATAAATTTATTTAAACATTTTTTTCTTTATTATTATTTATTTAAGTACTAAAAATAATTTTATTTATTTATATTTCCATAACTCTTCCTCTTCGTGGCATTTTAAGCTATATTACAAGGTAGCTCGGTGGGTAAAGCACTGACTTCCAAAGATCCCAAGGTCCTGTATTCAAATCTGGATGATGGTAGGTGTTAATTATTTATGTTTCTTCACCCGATGATCTGCTGTGGAGTCAGGTGATCCTCCTGGGGCACACCCAGCCTCTATAAAAAGACTTTATTTTACTAATTAATCAAGGGAAAAGCTTGGTGATTGAACGTGACCCCGGCCCATTCACCTCTCTGTTATATATATTATATATATTATATATATATATATATATATATATATATATATATACTTAGTTTATAATTTTTTTTTAAATGAATTATTATTTTTTCAACCAACTGGCTAAATATTTTAATAATATTAATTTTTTGTAAATTGGGCGCTGACAATCTAGGTCCTGGTCTCCAACATTTTTGGAACCTCCACAAAGTTCCGCGGGGCATGACATGCGATGAAAACAAAATTTGTTCTATTAATGACACTTTAGTTACGAAATAAGTTTTTTAAGAGAAATAATTCATTCAATAAATATTATAGTAACCCCTTGTGTGAGTAATTTGCTAAATTTTACGTTGTAATCAAAGACATTTTCGGGGATCGTAGTTTGGAAACCCCTGATCTAGACTATTAGATTGGAATTAATTTTAAATTAATATCATACCAATAATCTCAGCTCATTTAGTCATATGTCCCCCTAATCCGGGATATGAAGTACTATTTATAGTATTTCCCCCAAAAGAGCCCATAAAGGCAGCAAGGGCCAGGCCTCCTGAGACTATTAGAGCCAGTTTCCCATGACCCGCCGCCCATCCATCATCCTCACCTGCTGGCCATCCTCTGCTTCCTTCCTCTCATTAGTTCTCCATCCTTCTTGCGGCGCTTCTTCTGTGTCTCCTCATCTCCCTCCTATCCTCACATGCTGTTTATTGTCAATGTCAACAATAAGGGGTGGTTAATGTACGCGTCAAAGAGCTATAAGTCTACAACATTATTAAAGTGTACATTTGAATACCTATCACAACTCTTTCAAGAAATGAGTAAATGTTTCTAATAGCTCTGATTTATTTGGTAAACAAACATTATAATATTCGATAAATGTAATAATCATACAGTTTATTAAAAGTAATTATCTCTCATGTAAATAATACAGCTTATAATAATATATCTCATAGCACGTATTTTTATTTTTTAAGTGAAAACTTCATTAGGCGCGTTTTGTACTTTTATTGTGGATAATGAATTAGATTAAGTCGTCAGATCCCCGTTTTAGAACGCTCCGGTAAAGTCGGCCGGAGTAGAATAATTCAAGTGTTTTTGCATATGGATTAAAATACCTAACTAAAAATCGGACCTGCATATTGTTAGCGAGGGAAATGTTCATCATTTCATGCTCATCGTAATGAACTATTATTCAAAATTTTATCTTAACATGACGTGGCAATAGATAGGCCAAAAAGAAAGAAAAAAATGTCGAAAACCAAATTATAACAAGGGTGATAAATGTTCAGGATGCAGTTATTATAAGGTTTTTATCAGCGGCAACGTTTCGACCCAAACATGTGGTTCATCATCAGGGCGTGGTTCGAGCACTGAAGATATTCAAGTACTCAGTACTCAGTACTTGAATATCTTCAGTGCTCGAACCACTGCCTGATGATGACCCACATACATGTTTGGGTTGAAACGTCGGCATTAATAAAAACCTTATAATTATTGCGTCCTGAATATTTATCACCCATGATATGTAGTCGACTAACTTCCTTCTCAAATTATAACAAGTTTTATTGAAGATAAGGATTAAAATATCTCATAAACTAAAAATCGGACCTGTTTACTGTAGGCGAGGTAATTGTTCATCATTTATCCTCTGTGTAATTGGGTATTACTAAAAACTGCATTCTTAACATGACGCCGTGTTAGAGAGGAGAAAAGGAAAACTATTGTCGAAAACCAAATGATAACGAGTTATATGAAAGATATGGATTAAAATATCTCAGAAACTAAAATTTGTATCAACAACCTGCAAGTGAGGGAAATGTTTAGCATTTCATCTTCTTCATGATTAGCTATTATTTATCATTTATATTTTATATTATTATTTTCGCCTGGTTGATGTTTTCGCTTCTATCGTGTGGTCTGAAGCACACACATTAGTTTTTTTAAAACTTGCTTATTTGGAAATATTAAAATATGTCTCAATTTATTATTACGATGAATTATATAGCAAAATAAAAACGTCTGTCAAGTAGGATCAATATGGATATATATATCCATCTCTACCAATTCCTTCTCACATCCCAAAATGACGTTGTACAATAAAATAAATATTGTGAAACAGATTTTGACTGAGGTGAATGGTTGTTAAAATTGTTTGAATTTTAATTTTAAAAAATCAACACATGCTTGTATTATTTTGTTATTTATTTTTTACCTGATTTCTGTTTTTTTTTTACATTTAAATAATGTTTTTTTTTTTTTTTCAAAATGGTGTTATTTTTATTTGTTTTAATATACTTTTACTCAAGATAATGTTTATACTCATTAATGTAATTTTTGGCCAGATGTAGTTTTTATTATTTTGTTTACAACTGTTATTCATAAGGGATCTCGTCCCAGAATAAAATTTATTTTCTATCTATCTATCGATGTATCTATATATATATTTTTAGAGACCTATATTTCAAGGTCCATGATTGGTCGTTTGCAAACAAAACCCATTAGAAGAAGTCATTTTGAATTAAAATCTCATTAAGGAAAAATATAAGTCAACAATGTAGACGAAATTTTATGACTTCGATATTGGATCATCTAGGACCTACATTCTAGGAAACATGACAACCGATCTCTGTAAATTTCAACAAAACAAATATTAGGCAGTGGGGATGATGCCCGTCATATGGACTCAGACTACAGAATATAATTGAAATTAATTTTTAGAATACAGTGTATGACCATAGTATAAATATAATTAATGTAAATTTCACACCCATCGTATTCATAAAAATGATATGCATAAATTTAAACTGGAATTTTATACTAGGCCATGTGTTCAAGGAACAGCCCTCAATATCTTGAAAGTGTTGTAATTTAAAATTCGTTATTCATTTAAAAAAGCTGCAAGAGTGCTGCCATCTGTGGAGTGAAGGTGGAACTCCTAGCATCCCTTATTTCATAACTGGGAATATTACCCTTGGTGGTTTTGATGATTCTAGAGCAAGTATAACGTCTAAAGATTTTTTGTATTTATGTCTCATCAGAAAATGGAGTGAACTCCAGGAGCTCAAGGCGGAACCAGTGAGGAAGAAGAAGTAAAAAAATCCACTTAGCTCTTGAGCTAATAAAAAAACCAACCAACTAATATTATTCTACTCCGAAATTTGGCTAATTCCACTCACTTTATTATTTATGTCATTATACAATAGACAATTTTACAAACTTACTTTAAAATCCATCATTCATTTATATATTGTCCATACATTAACGCATCCATAAACCATCTGAAATAATAATAAAATCCACTTATGCGCTGCGTTCTAGTCTCTCAGCAAATCGTGAGGCACAGAACAAATTTTTTATAAATTTATATCAAGTTTTCTCTAATTTTGGACCAGCCGTTTTTGAAATGTAGGAAGAATGTTCCAAATTTCACCAAAACCGTACGTATCACCCAAATCCTCTTGCAAAATCCCTATTTACCACCATCCATCCCTTTAATTCTTCTAGAATGTTAAAACGGCAGTGGTCCTGTGACTTTTTGTAGTATGTATATATTGCAGTTCTGGCAATAGCCGGATTCTCCTCTGAAGATATGAATGTATGTGACTAAAGTGCTCAATCTCCACTTAGCACCAATGACGCGGTTGCGAGAGGAGCGGTGTGATCTCCAGGAGTGCTGCTTTTCCCTCAATAATTGGAGTAGCAAGCCTGGCTCGATGTTCCCTTGCCAGATTGTAAATAGTTTATATAGGTATGTGTGTTTTTATATTTATTAACACTTTTAGATTGTTTAGTTGCTATTTTGCTTGAGTTTATTTTATATTTTCTGTATATATATATATATATATATATATATATATATATATATATATATATAGTGTGAATGTAGTCTTACCTCACTATAACCATTGCCCACGTCATAGAATGTTATGATACTTAGTGATGTTATGATAAATAAATAATTTTAAAAAATCGAGTAACAATTATGAATTAATAGGTAACGATAGTAAGTTATATTCCCGCCATTTGTTTCCACTACAGCCAGATACAGAACCACTTTGTTTCTTGAATTCTATAATAAACAAAGGGTATTGAATTTTGTTGATTCTGACTAAAGAAAACAAATAATAAATCTCTAAATGAGTACAAAGCTTCTGTATCTTTCTTAGTTTGGAAGCAAAATAATGTAATTTGTCAGACATGATTAGGACTTTCATAGAGATATTGATCTGTTTGGAAGTAGATACTGATCCAGCATTAAAAAATTACGATGGTTAATAGTATCCATGTTTTTAATTGCTTTCATCATACTTAATACTGGCCTTGTTGTTAGTTTTATATTGCTATCGTACAGAATGGATATGTGCAGGCAGTTTTCACTTCAACGTTTGATATTGGATTGTTTATTTTGCTTATCCATCTGGCTTTTGACCCCTCATTTGGGTCATTCAGACCACCAAGATTTCCTCTTCACCCTCGAGGACAATCACACTAACACAGGTTACACCCCAAGTACCGACTATTGACACCATCCGATAAACAAATATCATTAGAGACAACAAGCTACTCACGGTGTGTCCACACAACACCTGGCCATCAACCACACTCTAACTAATAATCTCCCTTATTAAGGGGACACGTTTGTGTTTCTTTACTTGAGACAGCTACGTGTGGATCCGTTCAATTATTGCCGTACTACGTGAGCGAGGGGTACGTCACACACGACTAATGAGGCGACTCGGGAACGTGAGATCCGCCGGGTTCGGTACATTTGGTACCGCTGGGTACTTTTACCTCCTGTCGGAAAACTGCGCTTTACTGAACTGATCTGATCTAAGCCCCTGGTACCTGCGCCTGTAATGGGTGGTTTCACTTGTACGTCTTCAGGCCAAGAACTCTCGAACAAGTGCCATTGGTAGTCCCTTATTAAATGATATCGCTTTTACTCTATTTGAATAGCACCTAAGTCAAGAACAAATTATTGGTTTTCTTTAGTGTATAAAAAAGCCTACACTTATTAGCTAGTTATGGAATATCCAGATTAATTCTGTGGATATGCAACTAAATAAATTCTAACTTCTGGGGGGATGGTAGATTAATTTTCTACAAATAATTGGAAGTTTAATAATCTACAATTATTGAATTGCTTGAAGCTAGTGTATGAAGTATTTGGTTATTACGGAGTTTAAAAAAAAAAACATTTTTAGTTGATTGGTTAAGAAGAAATAATATCAAGGAAATAAATAAAGAACAGGAAGATATGCTTCTGGTTATAACCCTAAAGTACCTAAAATGTTATTTTACAAATTCACTATAGAAGTCATCTGCTTATTATGAAATTCATGACAAGTGCGGATTAAGATAAAATTATTTATAATGTTTTAAATTAATTTTCATCGACTTATAATTAAAATTTATATTCAGAATTTTTAGTATTTCATATTAGATAGTATTTATATTTTAGTCGAAGAAGTGTTTGATCCTCAATGGTTTCTGTTTATACATTTGTACTTAATGTGTAACATGTGATATGTGCCAAACTCTATGTATGATTGTCTCACGATGATGTTCTTTGCTATGCCATATAACGGCTATAACGAGTTTCACATATGTCTTATAGGTTTTCCAACAGATTAAAAAAAGAACTTAAAGGTATTGCCTATATAATAGGTGAGAAACCTTTTTATCATAAGAAGCCGCCGGAGCGTGAAGGTAATGTGTTTCCATTTGGATTAGTTTACTTTGATGCGCCATTTATTACACCAGTACTCAATCAGGAAGAGGGGTCTTTATAGATTTAAAGATGATATTTCGGGATCTGAGTTGGATGATAGGATGCCGATGTCATCAGAAAATGTTGCCATGATGGTATCGGGATGGACAGGGATATAAGCGGTAAAAAGGATATAAGGAGCGGGACCCAAGACGCTACCTTGAGGGACACCATCTTCAAGTGGGTAGGAATTGGAAAATTCTGGACCACAGCGAACTCGAATGGTACGATCAGAGAGATAGGAGCGGAGAATTAGGTACAAGGACTGGGGTAGATGGGTTTTCAGCTTGGAAAGACTCACGCCGTGTTATATATATACCTGGTCAAAAGCTTGAGCTATGACCAAAAATGCACCCAAGCAATATTGCTTGCTTTCCAGTGCTGCGGAAATATGATCGACCACTCGGAGTCCTTATTGGACTGCGAACCATATCCGAACTGATCGGGTGGAAGATTTTGGGATTCTATGAAGGATAGGATTCGTTTCAGGAGGATATTTTCAAAGATTTTTGAGAGGATTGGAAGTAGGCGAATTGCTCTGCAGGATGTGTTGGGAGGTTTTATTATCCTGGTTTCGGAAACAGGATAATAGTGGAGTGTTTCCACAAAAGAGGAAAGTGAGTAATTCTTAGAATGGTACTATATAAGTAAGTGAGAAATATAACAGCTTTAGGAGGACGTTGTCGAAAGATTTGAGATGTAAGGAGGTCGTATCCAGAAAATTTACGGAGAGGAAGTTTTTGTAAGTGATGTTTTACCTCAGATGGATTGACTGCTTTAGGGGATAAGGAAAGTGGAATGGATGATGTAAGGAATCCTTCTACTGTTGTGGTATGGGTGGGGTTGGATTCCCTGATGGGAGGTGAATGTTCGGTAGAAGTGTCTGGCGAATTCCTCAGCTTTGTCAAGCCACCCAGGAGGATATCAATATTGCGGTCAGGATCAATGGGCTAGTAGGTTGGTAAGTTTGGTGGAAGGAGACTGAAACGTTGGAAATTGAGTGCAGACAGCAATGTTCTGCCACGAGAATTCGTGGTTCTTGAACCACATTCTTGATGCTTGGCATATAAGTCTGCACCCAGGATGAAATGATGACCTAAGGAGTTGAGGAGAGAACTGAACTGGACTTTGGATATGGACATGTTAGGAGGGCAATATGCTGATGCAAGGGGACCGGAAAATAGAAGGTTTTGATTACAATAGCGGTTGACTGTAGGAAATCTTGAGTAGGTAATGGGTGTAAGTGATGAGAGGGATTGGTGAACGATGACAGCAGTACCGGCATGTGCTTTACCGTTAGGATGTTCAGCACGGTATGTTATGTACAGCGGAATTTTTATATGCTGCTTTCTGGTCAGTTGAGTTTTTGTAATTAGGGACATGTTAATGTTCTTATCTAGTAGTAAAGCTGTTAGTTCGTCAACGTGATTTTTAACACCATTCCCCTGCCAAAGGAGAATAGATGTGTTTGCTGGGATTCATTTAAGGATTTTTCCCAGGAGAGATGAGATGAGATACGAGATTTAAGAGGAGTGATATGAGTGAGGTAACCAAGCCCTGCAAAAATACAAATCATTAAAATATTGTCAAAATAATATATAATAATTCCCTCGAAAATTCATAACTCCATGAACATTTACCTCACCCCCAACTCCTCAAAAATTAAAAAACCCTAAAAACAGCATTCAAATATTTTGATGAAGCAAATTGCGTCAAACTTTTAATCCAATAGAAAATTAATATTTTTGGCTGGAACTATATTTTGTGGAATAAATTTTATGAAATTACTCAACTATTAATTTTATTAACTAATAGTATGATAGTTTAAATATTCTTTTAATTTTTCTAAATTATTAAGTCTATTTCATAGTAACTTAATATGGAAAGCAAAAAATATATACTAGAGCTACAGGGAATTCATTGACAAGTCATAACAGAAAAACCTATAATTATCTAACACATTTCATGGAAGTTCATAATGAGCCATAATAATGGAATTATTTATCTAATAGCCGTTAGCAACAGTAGTTTAATTTTTATATCTATTACTAATTTATTAACAGAGATGAAATCTATCCAAGTTAAACTCCCACGTGAAACTCGACTATTATAGGCTTTCAGTGCCACATAACCATTATTCGATTATATATTTTACGCTCGGTATTTAGATTTAACGCCGTATTCAAGTGTAACCAAATTACCCGGCGAATAATTTTACCAATAATTAGAGAATATCAATAATTACTAATAAGTATAAATATTAATTCCTAAACGACCGGTTGTCACCTTGTTCAAATACGTGTCGAGGTCAGAGTTCAACTCCATAAACCCGTGTTCATGCATAGATGCATTTGAAACTGGTGTGCGAAACCTCGTTGGAATATTCAGTATGTCCTTATGGCGAATAATCTTAATTTCTATTAATAAAAATATCTTTAAAAGCTCAGTAATATTACAAAATCAGTTGGAAGTTTTGATTTCTGTTGACGGAACCATTAAAATAATAATGATACAAATAGTGTAGCGTAGCGAACCAAAAGGCTCAAACCTGATGCCATTGTTTGCGTCCAAACCTTTCTTCAAAATTCAAATTTACTTAATCATAACCCGAATTTTTATGGAATTGCCTAATTTGTATGCATTTAGTTTTAAATGTACTCCGTGGTACAGACCCCTCTTTATCGAATTATTAACATCCGCCAGAAACCTCATAAATGATTTCATCTCATCGTAACCTACAACTATTTTATTTACGAAAACTCTTAGAATTGGGGCCTTTTCAATCTGGAGTGGGTACAAACTTTGTATATTTAATTAAGTAATAAAAACTCGTATATACCCATTTGGTTTCTTCTTGGATCGTAAGATAATTTGTGGTAAAAAGGTGGCCTAAAAAAATATTGATACGTTTGGTGTGGCCTACACCCCTAATTTTTCAAAATAACGAGGTTATATAGGACAAATGGACCATTTGTTAGTTATTTTTGTAGGCCTTTTTTTTTTAAATTTTCTGATCAAATTGTCTTACTATCCAAGTAGAAAGCAAAGGGGTATTATGGGTTTGAGTTTTTAGTACTTAATTAAATAGACAAATTTTGTCCCCCTCCAGGTTTAAAACGCCCCAATTACAAGAGTTTTCGTGAATAAAATAGCTGTAGGTTACGATGAGATTAAACTATTTACGAAGTTCCAGATAGATGTTATTAATTCGATAAAAAGATGTCTGCACCACGAACTAAAATATTTGATTAAATATATTAACGAATCAGTGTATTTAGGTACAATTAGCTAAATTTTACATATATTTATAATAATAGCATTTCCCCCTTTTTTTATGATAAATACATGCAAATGGATATTTTGATTACTTCAAACACTTAAAATGCGTAATTGAAGACCAAATTCCAGATTACAATTGTATGTTAATATTTAATGAGTAAACAAAAATATCAACTAAATACTAATACATTAGGAATTGACCTTTTAGAATAAAGTTTTAAACGATACACTCAATTTCAATTTCAGTTTGTTTCTTATTTTTTTACAAGTGATAACATTTATAATCATTTGAAATACTCAAATTAACTGCTTCGTTTTCTTTAACTTTAACTGAACTTTAAATATTGGATCAATTCTTACGACATCGAAGATGAATCAATTTTTTAAATACACGGAAAACCCGTGGTTTTTATTTTTATCAAAACAACTTAATAGTATAAACAACAAACCACTAATTTCAAGTACATATAAATTAGGTCCTGTTACGTCTGTTGGTACAGAAATATAATTTAGTTATAATAAAAATATATCAAAAGATATAAAATTAGGTTTTCAGCAAAGATGGGCAAATGCTACTCTGAAAACCGATCACTCTTCGAAATTCAATCACTAAAAGTTACTCAAAAAAAGTTCAGGGTATTTGAGAATGACACCCGGTACTCGGAACTCGGAATAGCATTTGCCCATCTCTGGTTTGTTTTCAGAAACAAATTTTGAAATTCGTTAATTATATTTAATGTAGAATATGTCGCTTAATCCTAATTAACGTTTTGTTTAATTCGTCTATTTGTCAATTACATTTTAAATACTAATTTTATTTTATTATTAATTGTGTTTTAATCACTTTTATATTTTACTTTTTAAAAAGAA